GACCAAAAAAACCAAGTAGATTCACTGAAAACAAAGAACATAAAATAATAGTTGAATTAACACAAAGCTGCATAAGCATGTACTTTATAGGGAACACTGGAGATTATGTGTTAAAAGTCAGTCTAATAACTACTTAAAAAATTATTTTAACATCTGAAAACAATTGTTTTCCAAAGAGTATGGGCCTATAAAGAGGAGAAATTAGTTCATTCGTGCTTAAAGGCCACAGTGACATGATATTTCGTTCTCCATCAAACAACTGAGCAAAAAATAAACTCTTAATCATGGGATGAGGGAGTAAGCCATGAAAATAATCTTAAAAGCTATGATGACTCAAGTTTAAACACACACACAGAGGAAAAGACTGTTCTTTTACAGCGAACTTTAAAAGATTCACAATTCCTTCATTCTTCCATTTGCATCTTCATAAAGGATACTGTACTACAGCACATAAGAGTTTTCCATATAGAAAGAAATTTTTTGTCTGGGTGTGGGTGTTGGCTCTCACAGCTGTAAGAATGACTGTAATTTATCTATTTTTCCTAAGCAAAGTCCAAACTTCACTAAATGTAAAACAGATGTCATGGATTTCTTTCATAAAATGTTGGCAGTAACCCATTTCAATTTCAACTAAAGTAGTCAGGAAACAAAAATAACTCCAAATGTCTCCTTCTCAAGTATAAAGCGAACATAAAGATAAATTTAGGATAAAAATTCCAAGATTTTATTCTAATAATAAATTCCTGGGACTATTACATCTAAAATTAGGTGACCATCAGAAATTAATTCACAAAAATATTAACAGTCATTCTCACATATTACTGGTGGGAATACAAAACAGTATGGTTATTCTGGAAAATGGTTTGGCAGTTTATTATAAATTTAAACATACTCTTATATGACTCAGCAATTCCACTTCCAGTTATGTACCCTAGAGTAAAGAAAACTTACATTCACACAAAAACCTCTAGTGAATGTTCACAGCAGCATATGCATGTGTGTTTGTGTACATAATATACATATTTATAGCATATGAATGTAGCTGCATGAATGCATGTGTGTGTGTGTATATATACACATATATAAAGATAATATGCTATATTATACACTATAATATGCTACATAAATGTATATATAGGCCAGGCATGGTGGCTCACGCCTGTAATCCCAGCACTTTGGGAGACCAAGGTGGGCAGATCACGAGGTCAGGAGATCGAGACAATCCTGGCCAACATGGTGAAACCTTGTCTCTACTAAAAATACAAAAATTAGCTGGGGGTGGTGGTGCATGCCTGTAATCCCAGCTACTTGGGAGGCTGAGGCAGGAGAATCGCTTGAACCAGGGAGTCGGAGGTTGCAGTGAGCTGATATCACACCACAGCACTCCAGCCTGGTGACAGGGCGAGACTTCATCTCAAAAAAAAAAAAAAAAATTGTATATATAACTATAATATGCTATATTCACCAAAAACTGAAAATAACCCAGATATCTTTCAATGGGTAAATGAATAAACAAACTCTGTTACATCCATACAAGGAAATATGAAAACACAAGAAATAAAAAGCATTAAAAGCAAGATAAAGATCTCCTTAAAAGGGCCCCCTGGCAAACAGTACTTCAACAGAGGAAAGACTCTGCTAAGTTGCAGATAGGCTAATAGAACTTATCCAAACTGAAATACAAAGAAAAAAAGGCATGAGAGAAATAGAGCTGAGCATCCAAATGCTGGGACAATATGTCAAACAGTCTAACTTATGTGTCATTAGAATGACACAGGGCAAAATAAATATTTTAAAAGACATGGTTGATAATTTTCACACAAATATACCCTAAACATAGCACAAACTACAAAAATGCAAAATTAAGAGAAAGAGTTAAGGCTGTCCCAAGTACACACACAAGACACACTAATACAGAAAAATAAAGACAACAATCATCGCAGACTTTTTGTCACAACCTATGCAATCCAGATTATGAAAAAGTATGTTTAAATACATATATATTTTAAAAGCCTGTCTACTCAGAATTCTATGGCCAGCAAAAATATCTTTCAAAAAAATGAAGGCAAAATTAAGACCTTTCCAGAGAAACAAAAGCTGATAGATATTACGGCCAACAGACCAGCACAGTAAGAAATGTTAAAGGGTCGGGTGTGGTGGCTCATGCCTGCAATCCCAGCAGTTTGGAAGGCTGAGGTCGGTGGATCACCTGAGGTCAGGAGTTTGAGACCAGCCTGATCAACCTCGTTTCTACTAAAAACACAAAATCAGCCGGGTGTGGTAGTACACACCTGTAGTTCCAGCTACTTGGGAGGCTGAGGCAGGAAATTCACTTGAACCCGGGAGGCAGAGGTTGCAGTAAGCTGAGATTGTGCCATTGCACTCCAGCCTGGGCAAAAAGTGTGAAATTCTGTCTCAAAAAAAAAAGTTAAAGGAAGTTCTCAAGGAAGAAGGAGCATAGCAGTTAGAAATCTGAATCAATATAAAGAAATGAAGAATGTTGGAAATGAAAAAATGAAGATAAATATACAAAAACATGTTTTATCAGCCAGGCATGGTGGCTCACACCTATAATCTTGGCACTTTGGGAGGCCATGGTGGGTGGATCACTTGAGGTCGGGAGGTCAAGACCAGCCTGGTCAACGTGGTGAAACCCTGTCTCTACCAAAAATGCAAAAAAAGAAAAACAAAAAAAAAAAAAAGGAAGAAAGAATATTAGCTGGGCATGGTGGCTGGATGCCTGTAATCCCAGCTACTCAGGAGGCTGAGGCAGGAGAATTGCTTGAACTTGAGAGGCGGAGGTTGCAGTGAGCCGAGATCATGCCATTCCACTCCAGCCTGGATGACAGAGTAAGACTCTATCTCAGAAACACAAAACAAGTTTTGTCTTATTTTTAATTGCTTTAAAAAATAATTGACAGTCTAAGGCAAAAATAGTAACAATGCCCTGACACATTTGAAACATGTAAAAGTGTATGACAATCGTATGACAATAATAATACAATAGTTGAAGGAAAACAAATGGAAAGTATACTGTTGTTCTTATAGTACATGTGAAATGTTTACTATTTAAAGTGAAGGTAGACTGTGATAAGGGAAGATCAAGGTAGAAGCAAGAGTCAATAAAATAATGACTAAATATTTCTCAAAACCTAAAGATACCAATCCTGTCTGAAAAACTACAGATCTATAATGAAAAACTAAAAATAAATTCATAATTAGGCATATAACATTTAAATTGCATAACAGCAGAGATAAAGAAGAAAGAAACTCCGAGAGAAGTAACTTACACAAGGTAATTGAATCTGGACTAAAATCCAGGTCTTCTGACCTATGTTCAGCACCCTTTCTAAAATGCCAGTCACTCTCCACAAAATGGGAACCCAGTCTAAAAAATTGCCCAAGAAGCTGAGATTAAATATTTATTAACGATCATATGCTCATTATTACAGGAAGAGAGATATCTCACTATTCTTCCTTTTGTATTTCCAAATAGCAGATGCTACTTCCAAACCATGGTCTGAACAAAAGGAAATATGTGATCTCTGCTACGATACAACACTTTCTTGGTATTCTCCCTACTTCTCAAACAGTTCCTTTTCTAATTCCTTTTCAAGATCCTTCCCTTCTACTCAGTCAGTATATTTTAGAATTCCTCAAGGCTCAGTTCTAGGGCCTTTTCTAGTTTCACTCTGTATTCCTTCATAGGCAATCTCATTCCTGCTCAAGGCTTTAATTCCTACCCAATAGAAGATAATTCCAGTGTTCTATATCTCCCACCCCCACCTCTTCTGTGCTGCCTCTTTCTCATTTTTATTTCAGTGTTTTCAAAGGCACTCAAGTCCCATATGTCCAAAATAAAGTCATAATCTCACCTGACAATGGTACTCTTCCAACCTTCCCTTAACAGCAGACAGAACCACCATAATCAAAGAGTCATCTCCTGTGAATGACCTCTAATTCCTTTTACTCAAGCAATCCCATGCCCACTGATTTTTACTCCCTAATTATCCCCCAAATCCATCTAGCTAAGTATCATCATTTCAGTCCAAACTACAAAATTCTCTTGCCTGAACTGTTTTAAAAGACTAGTCATTGACTCGTTTGTATCAATGATTGCACCCCTTCATTCCATTTCCCTATAGCATCCAGAATAATTCTTTCTAGGATGCCATACTTTTGCTTTCCTCAGGCCCTGCTCAAAACTTTTCAATAGTTTCACCTGGTCCTGGGGCTGTAATAAAACTCTTTATACCAAATTCCTGGTAGTATGGACCTCACCTAATTTCCTAGCCCCATCTTACACCACTCTCCTAGGCTCTTGCCTCCACCTGCCACTGTGGTCCTGTGTCAATTGCTCACAGATGCCATGCTCCCTGCTGGCACAGTGCCCAGCAAAGTTATACCCTCTTTGTTAGTTCACACCTACTCATTCTTCAGATGTCAGCTCAAGCTTCAGGAAATGATATCATGTTCTCTCTGCTGGTCAAATTCCTGATAAACACTTTGGGAGGCTAAGGCAGGAGGACTGCTTGAGCATAGGAGTTTGAGACCAACCTGGGCAACAGAGTGAGACCCCATCACTAATTTAAAAACAAAATATAGAAATAATAAAAAACAAAAATTTCTGATATATACTTCAACAGCATTATGTAACTCTCCTCTATAGCATTTCACACAGCCATAATTTTATATTTACTTCTGCCATTATTTGATTAATATCTGACTTCTCCACTAGACGGTCAATCCCATGAGGACTGAGGATTGTATCTTTTTTTTGCTCACATTTTAATACCCAGCAGATAGTGAATGTGCAATAAATACAAACTAAATGAAAGAATGATAGATATAGAGAATACGGGCTTAAATATAAGCCACAATAGTGGTGTTATACTTTCAGAGAAGAGTTATTTACTTACTAAGAAAAGGAAAAGGTAAACTTAAAACTGTAAAGTGTAAATTTACTTTTTTTCTCTAAATAAGTTTGTTAAATAGCTTACCTAGACACAAATTCACTTAATTCTGAGCATTCTGTGGGCTCCATTATTATGTTGAGGTCAGTAACAGCAGAAGATAATCTCTCCTTATTCTAAAATAAAGATAAAATTTATGTATCAAAGCATGGTAAACTCCAAAAAGACAAAAATACTTTTGAAATATGCAAAATGAAATGCCACCAAATAAAAGGAAAGAGTAATCAAGAAATGAAACCAAAAATATTGGTTATTAAAAGAATGAAGTCAGATCCTTATTCCATAACAAAAACCAAAATGAACTCCAAATGAATTACTTATGTAAATTAAACACTGAAACAATAAAATGTGAGGAGAAAATACAAACTTTTAATTTATTAAGTGAAGACTTTCTAAGCAAAATTAGAAAAAAATTAGAAAATATGATTAAATAAAAACACAAAAGAGCAAAGTAAAAAAATGACTTTAGAATAAAAGAGAAGCAATAAACTGAGCTAAATATTTACCATAAACGTGACAAAGGGATATGGAAAGGGAAAAGGATATGAACTAAAAATTCAGAAATGAAAAACAATTTACATGTACAAAAATGTTCGATCTCAAGCAGGCATGGTCGCTCATGCCTATTAGCACTTTGGGAGGCCGAGGTGGGCAAATCACCTGAGGTCAGGCATTTGAGATCAGTGTGGCCAAAATGATGAAACCCTGTCTCTACTAAAAACACAAAAAATTAGTTGGGCGTGATGGTGGGCGCCTGTAATCCCAGCTACTTGGGAGGCTGAGGCAGAAGAATCGCTTGAATCCGGGAGGCAGAGGTTGCAGTGAGCCGAGATCGCGCCACTGCACTCCAGCCTGGCGACAGAGCAAGACTCAGTCTCCAAAAAAAAAAAAAAAAAGAAAGAAAGTTCAATCTCGCCAGTAACAACTGTAAATTAAAACAACAAGATAAGATGCCCTTTTTTTTTTCTGGAGACGGAGTCTTGCTCTGTTGCCAGGCTGGAGTGCAGTGGCACGATCTCGGCTCACTGCAACCTCTGCCTCCCGATTCAAGCGATTCTTCTGCCTCAGCCTCCCCAGGAGCTGGGACTACAGGTGCCTGCCACCACGCCCAGCTAATTTTTGTATTTTTAGTAGAGACGGGGTCAGCCAGGATGGTCTCAATCTCTTGACCTCGTGATCCCTCCCTCTCCCAAAGTGCTGGGATTACAGGCGTAAGCCACTGCACCAGCCGACAAGATGCCATTTCTTCCTATAAAATGAGCAAAGACTAAAAATGTTAATCCTAGTAAATGTACTGAAACCTAGTATAACCCTTTGAGAAATCACTGTGACAATGCATATCTTAAAGATACTCCTAATCTCTGTCCCAGTAATTTAACTTCTGAGAATCTATCCGTAAGCACTGTAATGAGAAATGAAGACAAAGATCTATGAATAAATATATTCATAACAGTACTACTTATCACAGAAAACAAAAACAACTGTATACTCAATGATGGGGATTGTTAAACTATTTTGATCTGCAGATTCAGGTTTTCCCTTTCACTTTAGTAAAATTTCTTCTATTATGTATTTGCCTATAATTTCTCTTTACTTTTTTTGCTATTCTTGTTTTTGGAAAAATCATATATTGGCTCTCCATTGTCTGTCTTCTAGATTTATTATCTTCCTTTCAATTGCTTTCACAGGTGAGTTTTCTCAAGCATATCCTCCATATTCAATTCCCTTATACTGATAATGTAGCTTTTAGTACTATAATCATTTTATTCCTTTTTCTCTCAGCTTTCTTTTTCTTACTCAGTTTTCTTTATACTTTGAGAGTCAGAACAGCTTTTACATAGCATGCTCTTTTATTTCCTGGATTAATTATTCTTAATTGAATTTGTCTGCATTTCCTTAACTTCCTTTCTTTTTATGTTAGCATTTTTGCTGTGATTTTAAATCACATTGCCCGATATGATGATGAAAGAACTCCATTCCATCATTTTTTTTTTTTTGAGACGGAGTCTCGCTCTGTCGCCCAGGCTGGAGTGCAGTGGCTCAGTCTCGGCTCACTGCAAGCTCTGCCTCCCGTGTTCACGCCATTCTCCTGCCTCAGCCTCCCGAGTAGCTGGGAATATGGGCACCCGCCACCACGCCCGGCTAATTTTTTGTATTTTTAGTAGAGACGGAGTTTCACCGTGTGAGCCAGGATGGTCTCGATCTCCTGACCTCATGATCCACCCGCCTTGGCCTCCCAAAGTGCCGGGATTACAGGCATGAGCCACCACGCCTGGCCCCGTTCCATCTTTGTGCTCTGAACTCTGTGGCTCCTATTTGTTACCAACAGCAGTAAATCCAGCAATTTTTGCTATTTCCTAAGACTACAGTGAGTGGAAACTCCTTGACTCCCTTTCCCCTTTCTCTAGATACTATCTGACTGCCCCTGAATATGCTGAGCTGTTGGAGAAAGAGATACTGATGGCTTATAGTCATTGCTTAGTTTTTCATCTGCTTGAGGGAAGGGTAGAAACTACCAGGAGAAGGTGCAGTTCAAGTAAGCTCTCTGTGGGCATCCTACCACCATTTCTAATCAACACATAAATTCCAGAAGCACTCTTACAATTCAGTTTTAAAAAAGATAACCCAATTTAAAACTGGGCCAAAGATCTGAATAGACATGTCTCCAAAGATGATACATGAATGGCCAATAAGCACATGAAAAGATGCTCAACATCATGAGTCACCATCAGGTAGTTCCATTTGACCTGGTAATTCCACTCCTGGTTATATATCCCCACAAAACGGAAACAAGTCCACTTAAAAACTTGCACATAGGGCTGAACATAGTGGCTCATGTGTCTAATCCCAACACTTTGGGAGGCTGAGGCAGGATTACCTGAGCCCAGAAGTTCAAGACCAGCCTGGGCAACACAGTGAGACCCCATCTCTACAATGATAAATGCCAAAGGGCCTTGAAAACATTATGCTAAGTAAAAGAAGCCAGACAATATAGACCACATATTATATAACTCTATTTCTATGAAATGTCCAAAATAAGCAAATTCATAGAGAGAAAACTGGTTCTTTCGGTTGGGTGAAAGAAGGGGGAATTGAAGGGTGACAGGTAAAGAATATAGGGTTTCTTGGCCAGGACTGGTGACTCACACCTGTAATACCAGCACTTTGGGAAGCCGAGGTGGTCAGGAGTTCGAGACCATCCTGGCCAACATGGGGAAACCCCATCTCTATTAAAAATACAAAAAATTAGCTGCGCGTAGTGGCAGGCACCTGTATTCCCAGCTACTCGGGAGGCTGAGGCAGGAGAATCACTTGAACCTGGGAGGCGGAGGTTGCAGCGAGCCAAGATCGCGCCACTGCACTCCAGCCTGGCAACAGAGCGAGACTCAGTCTCGAAAAGAGTAACAATAATAATAATAAATAATAAACTTGTGAAACAAAGCTTGTATTCCAAATAAATTATATCTTTAAAAAATACTGAACTATACACTTTAGACTGGTAAGTTATATGGTATGTGAATTATATCTCAATAAAACTGTTACCAGAAAAAAAAAAAGAGGAAAGAAAGGAAAAGGAAAGAAAAAGTCTCAGGCGCACATCTGGTCTCTTGGTCAGGTATGTGCAGATACATGTTAGATTTCAGCTTTTCACCCATTAGGATAGGCAAAAAAAATTTTTTTGTTTGGGTTATAGAATCCTGTTCAACAACTCAAAAGCTGACTTCAAAATACTGTTTTTCCATCTCTCCCCTGCTTGTGGTACTGCTAACTAGGTCAATTCTCCCCAGTTGGTAAATAAGGGAAGAGACCTTATAAACAATCTGACCTCAAAGCCCCTACATGAGTCTCAGCAGCACATTCCTTTCTACTATGGTCCATTTAAGCCCACAGTTCTCATTCTCCTCTACAACTGAAGGATCATGGGTAGAGATCTTTAGGAAAAGGGTGCCATTAAGTTGGTCCTTTTTTTTTTTTTTTTTTTTTTTTTTAAAAGACAGAGTTCTAGTCTATTGCCCAGGCTGGAATGCAGTGGTTCAATCACAGCTCATTGTGACCTTGAATTAGTGGACTCAAGCAATCCTCCTGTCTCAGCCTCCCAAGTGGCTAGGACTGTATATGTGAGCCACCAAGCCTGGCTAATTTTGTTTTTAGAGCAAGGTCTCGCTATGTTGCCCAGGCTGGCTTCTAATTCCTGGGCTCAAGCTATCCTCCTGCCTTGGCTTCCCTCAGTGCTGGGATTATAGGCGTGAGCCACTGTGGCCAGCCTAACTTTGTAAAACTTATAAACCCCTGATGAAGCACCCTGTATCGGATTTCAGTGTCTAGAATCAAATGTCATTAATATCAAACAGATTTCCTTTGGAGCCTGTGATAATGGAATTGTATTCTCTTCCATTTAAAAAAATTGCTTATTTTTTGAATAATTTTGTTCATTTCATTGGGACAGAAGTTATGGAAACATACTTAACCTGCCACTTTCCCCACAAACTCCTACCCATCTAATTGACTATATTGCTTGGATTATGGAAGGTTGATAAATGTTAATTCCGATGGCCTTACAACTCTTCACAAACGTAGTACTAAGAACACCAGAAAGTAAATCTGGCCAACAGAGCTCTATGTCCCAACCACCTTGGACAACAATAGCTACACCAACATGAGTAATCATTCAAACTCTCTGGATCCATTTACTTATAAAATAATAGGGTTGACCCAGACAAACTATAAGTCATCATTGTGTTCTGACATTCTAGTAACATGATTTGAGGTCATGTTTAGTTCAAATATTACATTAATATAACTTTATTACACCAATATTCTGTAAATTGAGGGTTTTACTATTTAGATTACTTTTTAATTTTCAGATAGCTAAACCTCTCCCTCTAGTGGAAGTTTTATTTTTAAAAAATGTTTTAGAACACACAAGGTTGCTCTGTCATTTTTTTTATCAGTCTTCACAGCAAAAATGTAAAACTGTGCTCAGTATGTAAAATGGTAAAACTATTTTAGAAGTCAATTTGCCACTATCAATCAGAATTTGTAAGTTTCCTTTGACTCAGCAATTCTACTAGATATGTTCCTAAAGGCATACATACACAAGTTGGTATAGAATACGCTAGAATTTACCATTAAATAATAAAAATTTCAAAAACTTTTCATCAGGTTATGATGTCAGAATTGTAAGCAATTGTTTTTCCCTCCCCAAGTAAGAACTCTTGGTGCCTCTCACACAACTGACTCCAAAAACCCTGTTGATTCCAGAGCTGTCTGTAATTTCTTCCAACACCTTGTTTACCAGTCTGGTCTTCAAGAACAATCATAAAATCTAAAAGGCTCAGAGAGAAAGTGAGAGTTCTTAACACAGCCAGGGAGAACAAACTCTTTCTGTAGCACTTTGTTAGTAAAACCAATCAGTCCCAAAACACCTACACACTTTTAAACGTGAACAATGACACTCATCTCTCTTTAGAGACTCAGCAATTACTAGGTTCTACGTCTTTCAAAGAATATATCAACAGTCCCTCTCCTTAGATTTTTTTTCCCCCTGCATCCCCTAAAGCATATAGGACAGAAACTGCTAGTGGTCCCCTCTATTTATACTTTTTTCTTGTCCCAGTTTTTCATTGGCCATATGGCCAAGCATAATGAAGATTAAATTTCCAGCATCCTTTATATGAATTTGTTGGCCAATAGAACGTAAGTGAAAATGATGAGTGTACACTTTCCAGAAAGTATCCTTTAAAAGAACAGGTGAGCCTTTCTTTGCCCATCCTCTTCCTGATACCCGAAATGCTAATATGATCATTGCACCATGACTTGAAGCCATGTGTAGCTGATGGTAGAACCTGATTATCATAAAACCACCCTATTAGCCCTTGAAAACATACAAGTTTACTTAAGTAATAGAGAAATACACTTCTAGTACCTTTAAGTTTTCTGTGAGGCACAGCTCAACTGATTCTAATTCATTCAGATGTGAGCTAACAGTATAAGCTTAGGCCATTACCAAACAGTCACAAAATTTTCAATCACGCTTTCGTGGCACGAGGATGAGAATATGAGCGTAAAATACTGTTGAGGTCTGGGTCAGTGCCAACACTGTCTGGTAGGAGGCAGAGTGTGGCCACAGCAGCAGGGGTTGCAGGACCTAAGCGGCAGGACATCCACTGCCTGGCTTCTGTCCTGTCTGTGCTGCCCTGGGGTGGTTACCCAGGCCCAGCAGGCCAAACCACGCGGTAGTTGATGCCGGGAATGACTCTGGTCAGGCAGCAGTCATTCTTCAGGAGCATATCACATTATCAAAATGTCTTCTACACTGTGACCTCATCCTTATCTGACTCAGGAAGGCATCAAATTACTATTTGATACTTTCCATCAGAGGTTTAAGGTGACTGAAGTATGCAACTTAAATAAAGTGAAGATACTGCAGTCTATGTTGGATACTATAGTCTACGTTATGTCTCAGGCCATAGCCCCACTAAGAAGCATACCACTCAATCTTAGGGTACAACCCATCCTGGAAGGCAAAACTCCTCTAAGAAGCTCATCCACCTCAATGTCAGAGGATAATCTTTCCCTTCTCACTTGGATTTGTGGACAAACCTCTCAAGGACAAGACTAATTCTGCCCACAACGGAGCTTCTCTCCGCATAACCTATGAGGCAACTGTGAAAAAGATGAACTCTCACAGTAGAAAAAGCCTGCAAGACCCCAAGGCTGCTAGGATTCCCCTGAGCAGTTTCCTGGACATATATACTAGAGTGCAGACATTTTTGGAGATGGAAGTGGACCACGGGATGATGATTCCACCAACCTGCCATGGGTTGCAGGCTTGGCCCATTAATGGATGCCAGCATACAGAAGAGCATTCAGTAGATTACCACTCTCAGGTCAAGTTCACATCAGCCACAAAGAAAGAAAATATAGTCAGTCAGACTATGAAACCTTTTACAAAGGGACAACATCCATGAGTCCAGCAGCCGCCTAAAGGAAAAGTCTGGGGTGGTGGCACAGGTTGTCCAGCCTAAATGATACCAATCCATTTGGGTCCATTCTCTGCTTTAGTCTTCAGCAAATGATCTTTGTGGTCATGTGATATCTCCTTGGTGACCTTGTACATCCCCAAGGCCTAGGGCCCATCTGGGAACAATGTCAGTCCCCTAGAGTCACTTACCACCCATGCCCTTGACACACTGAACAAGCTGAAATGTGTTTTGTGTCCCGCTCAACTGGCCTTGGCAATGCTACACGGCACCTTTTCTTGGTCACTTTGGCAGTGTAAGAGTGATACTCTAAGATGAGTACAAGCTAAGAGCTGTGCCATCAAATGAGGGGGTCTAGACAACCCCTAGCCCAACCTCAGCCTGCCAGAGCCAGTAATAGCAAATGGAGACTTGGATTGCAAAGAGAAGCAAAACTTCCAAACCCAGGTAACTGTACCAAATCCTTGGGACTAGTTAGGGAGTGGCTATCTGACACAGGAGGAGGAAAGGTCCTGACTCCATAACCAACTCCTGTCTCATACTAAATGGGAAACTTGGGACAATTTTTGTGGCTAAGGACACCGATGAAAAGGATAAGGAATACTGGCACATGACCCCGAATATAAGCATGCAGCTTGTCCACAGGACTCAGTTACAATAAATACTCTACACCACTTTAGTTATCTGATGAGCTGAGGTCAACGCAGCCTCACTGCCCTTCCCTGTTCTGTTCCTCCTCTTTGCACACATTCCGTTGGCCCAACTGGCAAAACCAACTGGTTGAAACTGCTTGCTCCTCTTTCAACTGCTTTCTCCGGCTTTCAACTTTTCTTGGAGTCAGCCTTTGAAGGTGGTTGAGCCGTGTTCTGCTGCACCCTGGCCAGTGGGGTCACTTATTATCATTCTGTCTGCTTTCGCTTTCCTGCTTCTGATATTATGTGAAGGTCTTAGCCAAATGAATCTTCCTCCCTCTGTTGTGTCTCAGCAGTTCAGTACAATGTGCAAGATCATCCAGCCCCAAGGAGCATTCAGATGGCTGTGGTCCCAGATGACCACAACCTCATGAGAGGCCCTGAGCAAAGACACCCAACTGAGTGGCTCCAAAATTCCTGACCCACAGAAAATAGGTGAGATAATTAATACACATAGTCAGCCCTCCCTATCTGTGGTTCTACATTCATAGATTGACCAACTGCAGACCAAAAATATTTGAAAAAAATATCTATAGATGCAGATGGTTGCATCTGTACTGAACACGTGCAAGTTGTTTTTCTCATAATTATTCCCTAAACAATATACTACAGTAACCATTTCATAGCATTTACATTGTATTGGGTATTAGAAGTAATCTAGAGATGATTTAAAGTATAAAGGAAGATGTGTGTACATTATAGACAAATACTACACCATCTTATATAAGGGACTTGAGCATCCATGGATTTTGGTACTACAGGGAGTCCTGGAACCAATCCCTCACAGATACTGAGGGATGATTGTATTTTTGGTTGTTTTTTTGTATGTGTGACAGAGTCTCACTCTGTTACCCAGGCTCGAGTACAGTGGCACAATCACAGCTCACTGTAGCCTCGATCTCTTAGGCTCAAGCAATCCTTCCACCTCAGCCTCCGGAGTAGCTGGGAGCTCAGGTGCACACCACCACGCCTGGCTAATTTTTAATTTTTTTGTAGAGACAGGGTCTCACTACATTGCCCAGGCTGGTCTCAAACTCCTGGGCTCAAGCAATCCTCCTGCCTCAGCCTCCCAAAATGCTGAGACTACAGGTGTGAGCCACCATGTTTGGCCTATTTTGGGTTGTTTTAAAATGCTAAATATCATGGAGATTGATGAAGCAGCAACAGGTAACTAATAGATATTAGATGGCTGGCATATCACCTAACTACTGATGACACCCAGGACTATTCCCACAATCTCATGGAATTGCACTGGGAGCCCAGGAGCATCTTGCCACCTGTCCTTCAATAAATCACCTATGGCTTTCACAGCAACCCTACCGTACGCAGTTGCTGGGCTATTAACACCTGAAATTTTGAAAATGTACCACTTTGCACAAATGTGCTATGAATGGGGGCCCTGGCTCATGAACTCCTCTTCAGATCCACCACTGTTGAAGGCTAGGGTGTGGGAATTGTTTATCTCATAGCAGAAGTACCTCTGTTATCACAACATGCTTCTTAATTTACCTGAATTTCCAGAATCTGAAATTCAAGGTGAAATGTAACCATGTGGCAATTTCCTGATAATCTGTGTCTCTGTAGAACTTTTCTTATACCTGTAAACCAGAAAAACAAATATTTTGTTTGCAAATAACCATTTTTTTCAAATGCCTATTATTTAATTTTGTGTGAATATCTACAATACATGTAGGTATATGTGTGAAAGTACGCATTAGCAATTACATTGAAAAACTCTGGAAGAATGTAAACCAAATTGATTATCTTTGCAAAATAAAATTAATGATAACTTGTGTTTCTAGTTTCCTTTTTTTTTTTCCAGACTGAGTTTCGCTCTTGTTGCCTGGGCTGGAGTGCAACGGCGCGATCTTGGCTCGCTGCAACCTCCACCTCCCAGGTTCAAGCAATTCTCCTGCCTCAGCCTCCTGAGTAGCTGGGATTACAGGTGTGCGCCACCACATTCAGTTAATTTTTCGTATTTTCAGTAGAGACAGGGTTTCACCATACTGGTCAGGCTGGTCTCAAACTTCTGACCTCAGGTGATCCACCCACCTCGGCCTCCCAAAGTGCTGGGATTATAGCCATGAGTCACCGCACCTGGCCAAGTTTTCAACTATACCAAAAGTTAAGGTAAGAAGTAGAAATGTACTAGTAAAACCCTAGACAAAATTGAATCATGTTAACTGTTCAATGGTTTTTATTTTTCCAACACTACCTAGTTCTTAAAGGCAGTAAATTGAATCCATGCGTTTACCTCTGCTATTTCTCAAAACTGCACTAAAATGACAGTGATAAATGACATTTTTGAGATATAACATGCATACTTTTGAATGCATAACATGCCCTATTCTTTTTTTTTTTTTTTTTTTTGAGACGGAGTCTCACTCTGTCACCCAGGCTGGAGTGCAGTGGCCGGATCTCAGCTCACTGCAAGCTCCGCCTCCCGGGTTTACACCATTCTCCTGCCTCAGCCTCCCAAGTAGCTGGGACTACAGGCGCCTGCCAGCTCGCCCGGCTAGTTTTTTGTATTTTTTAGTAGAGATAGGGTTTCACCGTGTTAGCCAGGATGGTCTCAATCTCCTGACCTCGTGATCCGCCTGTCTCGGCCTCCCAAAGTGCTGGGTTTACAGGCTTGAGCCACTGCGCCCGGCCTCCATAAAATGCCTTATTCTTAAGTATACAGCTCAATATTTCTTTTTACACATGTGGTTGTCCAGGTAACTACCACTCAGATCACGCCACAAGAATTTTATAGAACCTGTAAGGTTCCTTAATGTCCTTTCCCAGGCTATACCCTACCCCCAAGAGGTAAGTAAGCATGATCCTGACTTCATGTAGTCATCTAGTTTTGCTAATAACATTACTTTTAGAAGGGCATGATTCTACAAGGATAAAGGGAACAGGGAAGATAAGAACAACTGGATTTGAGAAGCTGGAAATCAGATGGATGAACTAGATAGCACATGGACAAGTGAAAGTGACCTGGTAGAGCCAGGAAAACTGAAACCTAAGCCAGCAAATGAGGAAAACCCAGAAGCAAGTCCATTTACACAGCAGAATACCAGATGGGTTATTATGAATCAGCAGCACCAAGTACCTTTATAGGAGGTGAACCTGGGGCTCAAAATAGGAAGACTGGTTAAAGGTTTGTTCAATAAGCAGTTAGGAAAAAAAGACAGAATGGTACAAACGGACATAATTTGCCTCCTAATTAGATGTACTGGTAAGAACAAAACATCACTTACATAGTTTTCCTGCCAAAATTGCACAGGAATGTCATTAAGAGGAAACAATCAGAAAAAAAAGAGATTGAAGAACAATCTATAATACAAGTGGTCTTCAAATATGTCAATGTCGTTAGAGACAGAGAAGATTGACCAGATTAAGACTAAAGAGACATAACAGCTAGATGCAATGCTTAATCATGGATTAGATGTGGAATTGTTTAAATAAATGGCTATGGAAGACTCACTACGGTTAAGATGTCAGTTCTTCCCAACTTTGATCTGTACATTCAATACAATCCAATCAAAATTCCAGCAAGTTACTTTCTGGATATCAACAAAATGATTATCAAGTTTACATGGAATGGCAAAAACTCAGAAGAGCCAGAATAATTTTCAAGAAAAAGAAAGTTTAAGAACTTAAACGACCTGATTTAGAGACTTACTAAAAGTTTAAGAACTTAAACGACCTGATTTAAAGACTTACTATAAAGCTACAGTAATCAAGAAAGTATGGTATTAGTGAAAGAGTAGACAAATAGGTCAACAGAACAGAAGAGAAAGTCTAGAAATAGACTCACACAGATATAGTCAACTGATCTTTGACAAAGGAGCAAAGGCAGTTCAATGGAGAAAGGATAGTCTTTTCAATAAAAAGTGCTGGAACAACTGAACATCCACATGCGAAAAAAAAAAATCTAGACACTGACTTTATACCTTTCACAAAAATTAACTCAAAATTTATTACAGTTCTAAATATAAAATACAAAACTAAAACTCCTAGAAGATAATATAGGAGAAAATCTAGATAACCTTGGGCTTTGTCCATAAAAATAAATATGCCAAAAATGTGGTAAAGAAAAAATGCAGATGGAATCCTGGAAGTAATCTACAACAACCACTTTATTTTGCACATAAGAAATCAGACCCAGAGAGACTTACTAATCTATCCAGTCTCCAGGCTTTTTTTTCTTTATGTCCAGGTTTTATTTTTTCTTTATGGAACACTATGCATACATAAATTGCATATAAATATATGTAGTATGATAAATTTTCAGTTTGATGCTTTTTTACTTGAACACACTGATTTTTATTTTATTTTATTTTTTACTTTTGAGATGGAGTCTCGTTCTGTCGCCCAAGCTGGAGTGTGATGGCAGCATCTCTGATCACTGCAACCTCTGCCTCCCGAGCAGCTTGGAATACAGACATGCCCCACCATGGCCCACTAATTTTTGTGTTTTTAGTAGAGACAGACTTCACCATGTTGGCGAGGCTGGTCTCGAACTCCTGACCTCAAGTGATTCACCCGTTTTGGCTTCCCAAAGTGCTGGGACTACAGGAGTGAGCCACCACACTGGTTTTATTAGTTCTTTTTTTTTTTTTTTTTTTTTTTGAGACAGGGTCTCACTGTCAACAAGGCTGAAGCGCAGTGGTGCAATCTCAGCTCACTGCAACCTCCACCTCCCAGCTTCAAGCCATTCTCCTGCCTCAGCTACTCGAGCAGCTGGGACTACAGGAACGCACCACCACGCCTAGCTAATTTTTGTATTTTTAGTAGAGACGGGGTTTTACCATGTTAGCCAGGCTGGTCTTAAACTCCTGACCTCAAGTGACCCGCCCACCTCGGCCTCCCAAAGTGCTGGGATTACAGGCGTGAGCCACTGCACCTGGCCTGATTTTTATTTTTAAATAATGAGTAAGGGTGTATTTTTAACAAAGTTTAAGGACCACAGAAGAGGATCAGTCCTTCAAAACAATCAATCCATGTATCAAGCCCATCCACATGTTTTTAACATACATTTAAAGCCCATTAAAAGACAAGAATAAAAACTATAAATTAAAAAACTACTCTCGGCCGGGCACAGTGGCTCACACCTGTAATCCCAGCACTTTGGGAGGCCAAGGCAGGCGGATCACGAGGTCAGGAGATCAAGATCATCCTGGCCAATGTGGTGAAACCCTGTCTCTACTAAAAATGCAAAAATTAGCCTGGCATGGCAGAGTGCGCCTGTAGTCCCCGCTACGTGGGAGGCGAAGGCAGGAGAACTGCTTGAACCCACGAGGTGGAGGCTGCAGTGAGCTGAGATTGCACCACTGCACTCCAGCCTGGGCGACAGGGCAAGACTCTTGTCTCAAAAACAAACAAACAAAAAACCCAAAAAACAACAACAAAAAAACTACTCTCATTACTTTGCGGTAACACTTAATTTTGGACTCCAAATTCCATTACTTAGTTTGTAAACTGCCTCTTACAGAATCAAAATGGAGAATTTAAAAGAATCATCATAGGCACTAAAGGAAATTCCAAAAGAAGAGTTCTAAAAATGTTTGGAGAAATAAAAGCATACCTGCAATAAAGTCTACATTCTTTACACATGATTATTTCGAAGGAAATCAAGATCATTTGATTACCTAGCTTCAGCTACATTCATTAACACACCACAGAAACTGTGTCTGCCCAATTAATAGCTATGGAAAATGATAATGACTTCAAATAGCTCTTTGTCTTTCCAACAGCATTTGGCCAAGTGCCTGGGCCAGACACAGTAATTATCTGATTAATTAAAGATTTCATGGCATCATACGTCACCAAATACATCCACTAAATCAAACTGTTTTGTTTTCAGTTTAATAGATTAAAAAGCCTCAAAATACAGTAGTATTAGAAAAACCATTTTGAATAATATTGTATTACTTCTGTTAGGAACAACTATTCACTTTTGCCTGGCAACTTTTTTATGTGTCATAACAAACATAAAATGTGACATAAGAAAATACAGTCTTTGATGACAAGGCTTTCAAGCATTTTTAACCTGTGAAGCCTAACAGCTGTTTAACTTCTTTATGAAATCATGCAATGCTTGTGAAAAAGAGAAACAGAAATATCGGAAAACCAGTGACACTGACACTACATCGTCACAAGGCTTATTCTGATAGAACCCTTTCACATGTAGATTATACTACACATGCCTATTACTGTCAGTTTGTATTACTATTTTCCTGTTCAAAATATTTTTCGTAGACTGGGCTCAGTGGCTCATGCCTGTAATCTCAGCACTTTGGGAGGCCAAGGTGGGCAGACCACCTGAGGTCAGGAGTTCGAGACCAGCCTGGCCAACATGGTGAAACCCCGTTTCTACCAAAAATATAAAAATTAGCCGGGCATGATGGCACGCACCTACAATCCCAGCTACTCTGAAGGCTGAGGCAGGGGAATCACTTGAACCTGAGAGATGGAGGCTGCAGGGAACTGAGATTACACCACTGCACTCCAGTCTGGGTGACAATGCAAAACTCTATCTCAAAAAAACAAAACAAACTAACAACAACAACAAAAAAAAAAAGAAAGAAAAAAAGAACAAAAAAAAATAAAAAACAAGATATTTCTCTTCCCATACCATTACTCTTGCTAAATTACTTCACAATTAATTTCAAGAAATTCCTACAACTACTTAGATTTCTGGCTTTAAAATGATATTTCTTCTTTATAATTTTTATGTTTTTCCAAGTTTGCTAAAATAAGCACATATTACTCACAGAAAAAAAAGCATTTCAACTCTTGTGATGTCCCTGTCTGAAATCTCCCATTCAAACCACATTAGCTTTGTCATGACTCTACGCCTACTCTTCATGCTGTGGCTTTTCAGCTAGTAAAAGTCTTATACCCGGCCTATCCTCATTCTCTATTCTCTCTGCATTCCATCTCTTCCTTTCAAGTAATTTAAGTCTCCAAATCCCATCAGTCTGTTTCTATATGTAATTCAGTCACCCTGCAGTGGCTGCCCAAGACCCTCTCCCCTGTCACGAGGGTTATTTTCAGTGGAAAAGTCAGGAAACACACCAAAAATGATTTCTGCTTTTGGGAATGTTATTCTTGACAACCAAAGTTCTTGACATCCAGTTGCACAGCTGCAGTAGCTTCCCTTTATCTCTTAGCGCATCAGAGATCTTTGGCAATAAAATCTAGTCACTGGGACCAGAAACCTTCCTTCCGGCAAAAGGTCCAGCTGCTAAAACATTTATCTTGGCAGCTTTCATGTCAGTGCTGAACAACTCCTAAGACGTATAAATTAATGGTGCTGTTGTTTATTCACTTATTAGTATTTACTTGACTATTAAGGTACTTAATAATAGAAACTGTGTCTATTCTTCTCCATCAGGAAGGAGAGAAGGTAAAAGAAAAAAAGAAACTCTGTCTGTTCTTTAATATTTACCTCAGGCAGCTTATTTATTTTTATTTTTCTTTTAAATGGAGTCTTGCTCTGTCCCCCAGGGTGGAGTGCAACAGCACAATCTCGGCTCACTTCAACTTCCACCTCCCAGGTACAAGTGATTCTCCTGGCTCAGCCTCCCAAGTGGCTTAGATTACAGGTGCCCACCACCACACCCGGCTAATTTTTGCATCTTTAGTAGAGACAGAGTTTCACCATGTTGGCCAGGCTGGTCTCAAACTCCTGACCTTAGGTGATCCACATGCCTCAGCCTCCCAAAAGCTGGGATTACAGGCATGGTCACGGGGCCCGGCCCAGGCAGCTTTCTGAACACCGTGATGTTCAAAAGATATGTGAGTAAACAGGTTTATCACAACCATACATTCATGTACTTACCTTGTAGAATTTTAATTCAATATTATGACAATCAATTTTTTTTTTAATTATTATACTTTAAGTTCTAGGCTACATGTGCACAACATGCAGGTTTGTTACATACATATACATGTGCCATGTTGGTGTGCCGCACCCATTAACTCATTATTTACATTAGGTATATCTCCTAATACTATCCCCACCTTCTCCCACCCCATGACAAGCCCCAGTGTGTGATGTTCCCCACCCCGTGACCAAGTGTTCTCATTGTTCAATTCCCACCTATGAGTGAGAACATGCGGTGTTTGGTTTTCTGTCCTTGCGATAGTTTGCTGAGAATGATGGTTTCCAACTTTATCCATGTCCCTACAAAGGACATGAACTCATCCTTTTTTATGGCTGCATAGTATTCTACGGTGTATATGTGCCACATTTTCTCAATCCAGTATGACAACCAATTTCTTATGCATAATAAGGAAAGCTTCAATACTATGTCTAGATTTTTAAAAAATGCTTACTCTTTTCTGCCATCTCAGTGCTTGTTAGGTCTTCTGTCTGCTTGGAGTAATTTCTTATATTGATGCCAGTAAGCGTACTTAGAAATGAAAGTTCTGATTCTAAATGTCCAAGCTGATTTTTCAGATCTTTTGAAGACTTCCATCCTTCCGAAGTGAATTGGTGTATGGCTTGAAAAGATTTTCTAAAAGGCAAATAACAAAAACAATCACTCCAATTACTAACAGGTGTTTCATCTAATACCCCCATTTTCCTCAAAGCATTCCCATTTTGTCCCTCTTACTCTCTTCTTATTAAGTCCCCTTTCCCCATTTAAAAAAAAAAAAAAAAAAAAAAGAATTTTCTCAAAACCAGTGTGGTTACTAACACTGCCTTTTTTTTTTTTTTTTTTTTTTTTTTTTTTAAAGAGATGGGGTCTCTCGCTGTCACCTGGGCTAGAGTGCAGGGATGTAATCATAGTGCACTGCAGCCTTGAACTCCCAGGCTCCAAGGATCCTCCTGAGTAGCTGGGACCACAGGTGTGCCACTGTGCCTAGTTAATTTCTTTTTCCTTTTTGTAGAGACAGGGTTTTGCTTTATTACCCAGGCTGACCTTAAACTCCTGGCTTCAAGCCTCAGCCTCCCAGCATGTTGGATTATAGGCGTGAGCCACCATGCCCGGCCCACAATCTTTAATTTCAACAAAAAACATATGTAACCAAATTATACTTCCAAATTTCCACCTATTAGAAATACTTTTAAAATAAATTATAACAGGAGTACTTTGCAAAATTACAATGTGAGCTCTGACCCATGAAATTCCAGCCTAAATTCCTACCTTTCAAATTATTTTAAAAGATGTCTTGAAATTAAAAAAATAGGCCAGGCACAGTGGCTCACACCTGTAAACCCAGCACTTTGGGAGGCCGAGGCAGGCGGATCATGAGGTCAGGAGATCGAGACCATCCTGGTTAACGTGGTGAAACCCTGTCTCTACTAAAAATACAAAAAATTAGCCGGGCGTGGTGGCGGGTGCCTGTAGTCCCAGCTACTCGGGAGGCTGAGGCAGGAGAATGCCGTGAACCCGGGAGGCGGAGCTTGCAGTGAGCAGAGATTGCGCCACTGCACTTCAGCCTGGGTGACAGCGAGACTCCATCTCAAAAAAAAAAAAAAAAAAAAAAGAAATTAAAAAATAAAATCAATTAGCTAACTTTAATTTCTAAAAGTAAACATCACAGAACATTTTATAGTAAGAAAGAGTCTTTCAGGAAAAAGAAGTAGCAAATCTCTTTAAACATCACTATAGCTAGACATTCTTCATTGAGAACATACAAATATATTTTCCTTGAGAAAAAGAACGAAATTTTAGTTAGCCTGGTACAGGGGCTCACGCCTGTAATTCCAGCACTTTGGGAGGCCAAGGAAGGTGGGTCACTTGAGGTCAGGAATTTGAGACCATCCTGGCCAACATGGTGAAATCTCTTGTCTACTAAAAATGCAAAAAATTAGCCTGGCGTGGTGGCAGGCGCCTGTAATCCCAGCTACCCAGGAGGCTGAGGCAGGAGAATTGCTTGAGTCTGGGAGGCAGAGGTTGCAGTGAGCCAAGATCACGCCACTGCACTCCAGCCTGGGCAACAGAGTAAGACTCTGTCTCCAGAAAAAAAAAAAAAAAAGAACAGAAAAAATTTAAAAAACTTTTGAAAAAGAAGAAATTTTATTTAATAATTGTGTTAGATGGTATTTTATTTTTTGTCATCCATTATTTCCTTTAAACACTCTGCTACATTCTACACTATTGACTTTTCCTGCCCGCTTAAAACATCCCTTCCTTAGATTCTTGGGCATAATTATCCCAATTCTCATTAGATATCTTGGGTCGGCTTCTTGTCTCCAACATTAGAGGGAAATCCAAACACTCTTACTTCTGCTGTCCTAAATATGTATTCTTTCATTCTGCAGGAACACTAAATGATTAGCCTTAGCTCCTCTATGCTAGTAACTCTTAAAATATACCTCTAACCATATATTTCTTCTTCCTGCAAGGTAGATCTAGCTTAGTATCTCACCCAATGGTTTCCCTTGGAATCTGCTTTTCCTCTAAATTACCCTACATTTGTTAATAATAACATCTTTCTCTTGGTATGTCAGGCTCCAGACCTTGGAAGTTATCCTTGGCTCCTTCACTTGCCTGACATCTGGACTTACTGCCATCCTTTCTGCTCCTCACGTAACTATTCTTCCTTTTGTATTTCTAATTCTACTACATTAGCCAATGCTCTTATGACCTTACACCATCTCTACACAGAATAATCTAATGCTATAGTCTTCACACTGAGAGCCCAATCTGTAAAAATTGTTTCAAATTTTGTTTTAATGCTAATTTAAAATGTTAATGTAAGTATATTCTGTATCATGAAACTACCACAGCCTCTTTTGCATTTGCCATCGTAGACTGATGCCCCCACAAATTACATTAAATATAGAAGTCAAGGAAAAAAGAACAGAGTGGGTGCAGCGACTCACTCCTGTAATCCCAGCACTTTGGGAGGCTGAGGTCGCCCAGGAGTTCGAGACCAGTCTGGAAAACATGGCAAAACCCCATGTCTACCAAAACACACACACACACACACACACACACAAACAACAAATTATCTGGGCGTAGTGGCAGATGCCATGCCTTCAGTCCCAACTACTTGGCTGGTAGAGGGTCACTAAGGCAGGACGGTTGCTTGAGCATGGGAGGTGGAGGTTGCAGTGAGTCATAATCATGCCGCTGCACTTCATCCTGGGCAACAGAGTGAGACCCTGTCTCAAAAAACAAAACAAAAAGGAAAAAGAAAAAAGAACAGAGATAAATTTCCTACATAAATGATGAGCGGCCGGGCATGGTGGCTCACGCCTGTAATCCCAGAACTTTGGGATGCTGAGGTGGGCAGATTACCTAAGGTCAGGAGTTCAAGACTAGCCTGCCCAACATGGCAAAACTCTGACTCTACTAAAAATACAAAAAATTAGCTGGGCGTGGTGGTGGGTGCCTGTAATCCCAGCTGCTCGGGAGGCTGAGGCAGGAGACTCGCTTGAACTTGGGAGGTGGAGGTTGCAGTGAGCTGAGATCGCACCACCACACTCCGAAATTCCGTCTCAAAAAAAAAAAAAAAAGCCATAAATATAAATGAGCTTCTGACAAGTGAACACCAAATGTCACAGCAAGCTATGAATGAAAATGTCAAGGTATTTCCAATAGAGCAAAATGGTAAGAGAACCAAGTCATCATTAAAGGCTGGATATGCAGAACTCAAAAAAGAACCTGCAGTTGTCAGAATGGCCAGCAGGGAGTTCGTGTTTAATAGGTACGGTGTTTCAGTTTGGGGAGATGAAAAAGTTCTGAAGATGGACAGTGGTGATGGCAGTACAACAATGTGCAAGTGTTTAATGCCATTGAGCTGAACACTTAACAATGGTTAAAACAGTAAATCTTACGTATATTTTGCCACAAAAAGAAAATCTGCATATTCTTATTCATAGCAGCTATTTAGTTTGAGCAAAATATTTGTGTATTTCAACTAATGATGTTAGTTTGAGCTATTTTGGATTTGTCTGAATTTTATTCACTTTGTGGTTTTATTATTGGTAAGTCGGTCTTCATAGCATAAAAATTTGTCAGAATTAGGAGCTTGCAAGAATTTTTTTTCCTTTAAAATGAACCTATACACAAGTTTAAAGGTCAATGGTCTACTAAGTGTTAGTTACTATTATGAGGCAAGTACTCTTCTAAATGAACTACATATATTAACTCAATTAGTCCTCACAGCAACCCAAAAACTTGGGTATAATTTTACCACGGAGGAAACTGAAGCACAAAAAGTGGGAGCTCACTTAACCAAGATCACTCAGCCAATAGCAGAGACAGGATTTGAAAGCAGGCAATTTGGCGCCACAGTGTGGACACATGGATATAGCTGAATAATTTAGCTACAATTTTCCTACCTCCAATCCATCCAACCACTTATAATCACTTAAAAAAATAGCTTGGTACACAGGTCCCAATCCTCCTCCTCCACTATAGTGAAAAGAAACCTCACGGCTAAATCCAAACACCCTGGACTGACATTTAATGTCTCCCACAATATGAACTCTTCTGACTTTCCAATTTAACCACTGAGAAGTCCCAGATTATATAAATAATTTACTAAGAACTAAAAATAAAATCCTACCCCATCCCCACAATCACCCGAACCGACTCCCTCTTGGTCAAGGGGATCCCCCAAAGAAACCTTAAAAACTCAGCTCTTAACCATGACAGGACAGGAGGTCAGACACACCTCATTATAGCCCTTCCTATTTGGGATATAGACACAACTGACCAGCATTAATGTTAAAACAGAGATCGTAAGAGTTGCAGAACAGACTCTATGGCAATAAGATACCAAATTATAAACAAGACCAAAGGCCATGCCAGGCAAGGATTAAGTCACATACCCCCTACACTTAAAAGAATGAACTATCACTTTGGGAGGCCGAGGCAGGTGGATCACCTGAGGTTGGGAGTTCAAGACCAGCCTGACCAACATGGAGAAACCCCGTCTCTACTAAAAATACAAAATTAGCCGGGGTGGTGGCGCATGCCTATAATCCCAGCTACTCGGGAGGCTGAGGCAGGAGAATCGCTTGAAACCCGGAGGCGGAGGTTGCGGTGAGCCGAGATCGCGCCATTGCACTCCAGCCTGAGCAAAAAGAGCGAAACTCTGTCTCAAAAAAAAAAAAAAAAAAAAAAAAAAAAGAACTATGTTCTAACTGCCACAATTTTTTTTTCTCTAGTGGCTAAACAAGCACTAGCCTCCAGATAAGCAATATTGAAATAATTGCAGTTCATCCACCACCAGATGCTGATTCCCCTGTTCCACAGGCTTTGATAGGACAAGAGAATGATTTCAAAAATTTTTCTTTTGATAAGATCACCAACCATGGACTTGTTCTAACAGGTTTACAAAGCCTGTGTACTTAAGTACCTTTGCTTCCCTCCTTCAACTTTTGACATACAGGGCCTAATTGTAATGTATTTAAATGTTAAGTCAGTTCCCCAAAATGAACATGGAATGTATGTAACATGCATGTTTATTCAGTACATGTGAGCACATCTCCCTTCGTGAATATTCATAGCCCCTCCTATAACCTGTTGTAATGTGTATACATAGCCCACTCATCCATCATAAATCCCTGCCCCAACCCCTCCTCTTCCAAAGTGCGGGCTTTTCTGCTTTGCCTGAGACTATGCTTCCCAGCCTGTCAGGATGGCCACTTTGCAGACTGCAACCCTTTTTAAGAAACAGTCTCTCAAAATTTGCAGATCTCATGATTTTTCAGTTGACACTACTTTACCATGTGGACTAATGAAATCTTGTGGCTAGTAAAGAAAACACTTTTCCCCAATTTTTAAACTTCAAAGTGTGCACACAAATCATCTGTTAGGGCAGGGTATCTTTTTTTAAATGCAGATTCTGATTCAGTTGGTCAGGATGTCGCTCTAACAAACCGCCAGGTGATGCTAAAGCGTCCCATCTGTGGAGCACACCTCAAGTAGCAACGGTCTTTAATATATTGACTCTCATTTGAGGAGGGGCACACCTGTTTCCTCTCCCTTTTACCAGTCACAGCTTCCTCTACTTTCACGACTGAACGCAGACATTTTCTGTAGATCTCCTCCTTCCCATTTTCTACCAATTCTTCTCCAGTTAGCTCACGAAAAAAAAAAAAAAAAAAAAGAAAAAAAAAATTCTCATTCTCTCTGCACCTGTGTCAAATTAGTCTTGACTCAAAAATTGAAAATAGTTTGTTTTCCAGAGGCTTCCATGTTTGAGATGATGATACATAATTACGGTTGCAAAGCTTTTCTCTCCCTCTCCTTCAACAAAGCAAAAGTGCCCAGACTTTGGAGTTAAATTTTTGGGTTCCTAATCCATCTCTGACAATTCCTTTCTCTGGAACCTTGGACAAGTTACCTAACTCCTCTGAGCCTCAGTATCTTCAACTATGAAACAGGGCCAACAGTAGCACCTACCTTAGAGGAATGTCAAATTCTCCTACAGGCTATATTAACCACTCTTCCTGATATCAACTTACTTTTTTACCGAAGTTATTTTTCAAGGGAATTTTTATGTCATCGTAAACAAAAAGTCAGTATCACTTGCCATGGTTAGCTGACCCATTAAAAACAAATGCCATGAAATCAAACGGAGTTACTAAATCCCAACTAGAGAAACCTCTGCTTACTGGAGGCGGAACTACCTAGCTAGGGACATAGTCAAGACTTTCTCCTTGTCAGTCATCCACACAGACGACTGCGATGAAACGAGCTAATAATCTGCAAGGCGTTTACAGCAGGGCGCCGTACGCGCTGCTCCCAACTTTAGGCCATTGTCATGAAAGGATCAACACCAGTTCATGCCCACATTTTGGGGCTGGGAGTAGGAGACCGAGTATGTCTGTGGAGATTCACCCGCCTGGCCCGGGAACCCCGGTCAGCGGAGCCTGGGGAACTTGGGGGGTCACGTACTGGACTCTGGACTTCTCTTCCCAGGGCGCCGGTGGGTTCTCACACGCTCGCCGCAACGCCGCGATCTCAGCTTGCAAGGCGCGCACCTCTGCCAGCTCTGCGTCCATGGCGCGTTGCTGACCGGAGCCTGGCAGGCAGCGCCGCTGTCACTCCGACCTGCGCGCTTCACCAGCGCTTCAAGACTCGCGCGCACTCCCAGCGCGGACCATCCCGGAGCTCACGCGGAGGGGAGGCGGGAGAGCCCCGCGTGACCCCCGCGGCCCTGTCCGTTCAACTACACGCTCGCCCGAGAGCCTGGGTCCTCGACGTCCCTACACACGTTTCCCTGGCTATCTGATCAGTGCCTATACTTTCTCGGGAGAGCGTGTTCTTTGCTATTCCAAGCCCAAGCCCTCCGCTGCTCACCCCAGCCGGTAGCCTTGGAGCCGCCCGGCCGCGTGCGTCACTGAAGAGGCAGGGCTGGGATCACGTGGAGGGGAGCGCCTCTGTATTTTTTTTCCCCCTACTTCCTCACTTAGGCCGACCTAGTCCAGGAATTGGTACACACAGCGATAGTGTTCAATAGAAACTAGGGGATTTTGGTTTGGGCTCTTTTGCGGTCGTTGAGGGGGAGGTGACGGAGGCGTCAGGGAAGGTGGGAGGACGGGAAAGGAAATTAAAAGCTCTTGGGAACTGAATTGTGGTAACGGAACCTTAGGAGGCTGGGTTGGAAATCGAGTAGGAAGGAAGAGACGATGGTCCGTTGGGACAGGTGACCAGAAGTTACGGGCTGCAGCGGCGCTGGCGTTAGGTGAACGACGTGGTGAGGAGTGGGTTTCAGGCATGAGAAGTCACAGGGCCGTTTCCTAGCCTCTCTTCACTTCTCTGGGAATTCTCGGAGAAAGAAGGCTGCAGTGGGTAGGCTGGGGGCAGAGACTGTCAGGAAGAGGTAGGCCGGAGCTCTGCCCAGAATACATGCCATGTGGGGATGCTGGTTGGGAGTCTCGTTTGGAAAGAGTCTCAGCTGTTGGGGAAGGGCAGGGCGAGAGCTGAGCGCCTGCCGGGTGCTAAACGAAATGAGAGATACTATGATGGGCCCTAGTACCTCTGGAAAAGTTTTCCTGAGTCTCCTGTGATCCAGCAACCTTCATAGTATAGTGTTAAGAATTCCAAGTTCTGAAGTTAGACCTGCATTATAATCCTGGATTCACTAATTTTCGGTGTGGCATTGGGAAAGTGACTTAACCTCTTCTGGTCTTCTGAAAGTGGGAAACATGCAAACTACTTTGTACAATGCAGGCACGTAGCAAAAACACAAGTCTGTATTCGCTATATCACTTGATCTTTGTGACTGAACCCCACTTTGCAGCACTTTTATTGTGACATAATATTGTGCCATTTGTTTAATTCTTTTGTGACTATGAGGAGCTCCAGGAGCTCCTAGCCTCTGTATTCACTTCTTTGGGTCTTCCCGGAGAAAGAAGGCTGGGGTGAGTAGGTTGGGGGCGAAGACTATTAGGAAGAGGTAGACTAGCTCTTTTTATCTTTTAGTGCATTACCTGCCACATCCTGTTTATATCAGCCTTTGTTACAGACAGTAAATGAATGTATGAATGAATCAAGGAAAAACATCTAAAAACGTGAATACGTAATATTAAGAGGGATAGAGTAATATTATGGCCATTTGGAGGAAAAAACCTCTGGACCTGTATCTATATGGGTATAAGGTTGCTGTTCCAAAGTACATTTATGAAAAATGTGGATGTAGGGCTTGGGCAAAACCTCCAAGACTAAAATTTGGAAGCAATACAATCGGAAGTGAAATACAGATCCAGGAGACGGATTTGATACAGGCGGTTCAGAGGAAGTAGTTGTTTTGTTAGATTTTAGAAGAACTAAGGGAAAGAACTCTTCTTCTCTGTATACAGAAAATTACTTTTCCCACTAGAACACACCAAGTATATGACCAGCCTTCATGAAAGTGAACAGAGAAGCGAAGCGGCTTTATGTGGGTGGCCTTAGCCAGAATGTTTCTGAGGCAGACCTACAAAATCAGTTCAGCAGATTTGGAGAAGTTTCGGATGTGGAGATCATCACACGGAAAGATGACCAAGGTAAATGTATGGTCCTTCACTGGGTAGTTATAGGCAGACATAACTCAGGTTAAGTACTAGAAAATAAAACAACCCCAAGATAAATGTTAGCTCTGAACACCAAAAGTTTTCAGTGATGTTTTGGAGATACAATGTGTGATGTGGAACTTGACCAGAATTCATTTCTGAAATAAGAAAAAATTCTAAATTCTAAACATCTGATTTCAGAAACATATTAACTTCCAGTTTTGAGAGCTAGAATTTTCTAACATTAAGTGTCCCATTAAGTAGACTATCACTAGCACACAATCAAAATGTTTCCTTAACTGACTACTGTACATTTTCTTCTTATTTTTTTGGAATATTTTGATAATCATGCTTATTTTATAGCCAATAAAAAAAACAAGGTTTATGCTTGAAAGAATAAGTTTTCAAGAACTAATTTTTTTTTTTTTTTAAATTTAGAAACAACCATTTTTACATTGCTCTCTGGATAAGAATTTAAATAAATTGTGTTTTGGTTTTTGGTTTTTTTTTTTTTAGGAAACCCACAGAAAGTCTTTGCATATATCAACATCAGTGTAGCAGAAGCAGACCTGAAAAAATGTAAGATCATCATATATTTTCTATACTATTGGCCAGTTTGTATCACTCTGTAACTTGGAATACCTTTGGTTCTAAGTCTAAACCTCCACAGCCATTTTTACGTTAACTAGAGGGACAGCAGTTGATCAAGAGAATTCCAGTATCGTTTGACTCAGCAGGTTTAGGTCCATTGCATTTGGCATCAGTGGACTTGGTAGCACTTGCTAGTGGGTTTACTTAAAACTGCTATTCTCAAATATTTTGGACAAGGAACCGAACTTTCATAGAAACTGCCTGTTACATATATCCCACTGAATATCATGCCACATTCCCCCTCAGTCTGATCATTTTTTTGGGAGCTAATCCTTGTCACTAAACACTCTTAAGGAGGGAGCTTTACAATACACCCTTGTAAGACCATATCCTTGAAATTGTGAAATCTCTTGTTGATAAGTTTAGTAAAGTCAAGGGCAAACAGTGGCTTTCAATGAAGAACGAGAGATAATCCATACTGCCACTGACACAGTAGCATATTCTAGTTATTTGGAGGCCAAAAAGTGAAAAAAGACACAGAAAATAAGTAAAGGGAACATGCTAATAGAGGAAGAGGGCAATCAGTCTTTCGTAATTTCATTTGCAAAAAGATTGCTTTATTCTATTTTTCAGTGAGGAATATATGTGACAAATGTGAAGTTGTGGTTAAGAACACATAACTAGGCTTTGTGACCTGTGGCAGTTATTTAAACTTCTTAGCCCCAGTTTGCTTATGTGATGAATGACAGAAGATAGTGCTTGCCTCATAATATTTCTGTAAGAATTAAATGATACATTTGCAACACTTTAGGAGGCTAAGGCAGGTGGATCACTTGAGGTCAGGAGTTTGAGACCAGCCTGGCCAACATGGTGAAACCCCATCTTTACTAAAAATACAAAAATTAGCTGGGTTTGGTGGCAGGCACCTGTAATCCCAGCTACTTGGGAGGCTGAGTCAGGACAATCACTGGGGAGGCAGAGGTTGCAGTGAGCCAAGATCGTGCCACTGCACTCCAGCCTGGGCGACAGAGGGACACTCGGTCTCAAAAATAAAAGATACATTTGTACTTAGTATAGTATCTACCACCTGCAAAATTCTGTTAATGGTATTATTAAGGAAGCTGACAGTGGATACTCAGAGAAATCAATTACTAGGGCATAGTAATTCAAACAGTTCAGTTACAGTTAATTCATCTACAAGTTCTACAGTGATAATTAGTGTGAGGTGGTAAATAAAATTAAGGTGCTGTAAGATTCCAGAGTGTCCTCTGATTCACCTGAAAAGATGATTGCTTTATAGTTACAGGAAATATGTTTTATAGTTATAGGAAATAATAAAATATACATTAAATGTCAGTTATTCAGAGGTTCCTGACATTTGTTTATAAACAAATTGCAAATAAATTGTGCTTTACTTTTTACACATTTTGCCTCATTCCAATCTAGTAACACTGTGAGATAGGGAGTGTAAAGACTCTCTTGGTAAGTTGTCAACATGAGACAAGAGCCTAGGCTCCCTCTCTCCAGGTCTCATTTCTTTTCTTCCACTTCCCGTAGATCTCTGTGACAAACAAGCCTACTTTTCTTGATACTAAATAATTAGAAAAAGCACAAGCTGAAATATTTTTCATTGCCATGTACTTGAGTAATAATTCTTTACTTTATAGGTATGTCTGTTTTAAATAAAACAAAATGGAAAGGTGGAACTTTACAAATTCAACTAGCAAAAGAAAGCTTTTTGCACAGGTAAGTTTTGCTTCACATGGATTTAAACCCTATTTTTTTTAATATTGTTAATGGTTTTATATATTATTTCAAATTATCAAGTAATATGGTATTATATTCTTAACAAATTCAAACATTATAAGTAGAGCTGAAATCCCTTTCAACTCTGAATCCCTTCACGCCAGATGCCAACAAAAAGGATAATTTCGTGCATTTACGTATGTATATAAGCTATAAAAGTATATATGTACTTATTTTCTCTTTGTTAACACACCCTTTTGTGGCAATGTAGATCTTCTCCCTTTATAACAATTGTTAGTACTATTTCAGTAAATGGTTATACCACAGTGTAGTGGTCCCTTCCCACTGATGACTGTTTCTACTTTTTCATGGTTGTAGATGATCCTGGAGCACGTATCCTATGTATATGCAGGTGTTTCACTAGGTTTATATCAGAAAATGGAGTTGCTGAATCTTAGCATTGTCTGCATTTAAATTTTAGTAGATTTCTGAATTGCTTATGTTGATTTTGACTATTAATGCTGGTGTCATACAAAAATATAAAGGAAATAGGAGATCACTGTATGACAGGCATAAGAGTGATTATGCAAGTGATTTAAGAGCAAGACAATGTATTATAAAAGCCATTAGAGCTTTTAAAATCCTAAAGGTATTTTCAGGAAGAAAAGGTATTGTTAGCTGGGGAGTTTTCAAAATAGGAAACAACTTAAGAATATGCACATAGAGGCCGGGCACAGTGGCTCCGCCTGTAATCCCAGCACTTTGGGAGGCCAAGGCGGGTGGATCACCTGAGGTCAGCAGTTCAAGACCAGCCTGGGTAATGTGGTGAAACCCCATCTCTACTAAAAATACAAAAATTAGCCAGGTGTGGTCATGGGCACCTGTAATCCCAGCTACTTGGGAGGCTGAGGCAGGAGAATCACTTGAACCTGGGAGGCAGAGGTTGCATTGAGCCTACATTGTGCCATTGCACTCCAGCCTGGTTAACAGGTTTGAAACTCT